TGTAATAAAATATGCACTGCAATAAAACGTGCACTGCACTAAAACGTGCACGGTCCTAAAATGTACACTGTCCTGAAACGTGCACTGTACTAAAATGTGTACTGTACTAAAATGTGCACGGTCCTAAAACGTGCACTGTCCTAAAACGTGCACTGTACTAAAACGTGTACTGTACTAAAATGTGTACAGTACTACTAAAACATGCACGTCCTAAAATGTGCACTGTACTAAAATGTGTACTGTACTAAAATGTGTACTGTACTACTAAAACATGCACGTCCTAAAACGTGTATTGCAAAATATTAACATGATTACACACAGAAGTACATAACATATGACATCTGGTTAAGTAGATGCAAACATTGCAGACTGAGTCACTCACTAAGTCAGAACATGCATTTTATTATCATTAACATGTTAAACACCTTCACATAACATTTTTAGACCTCTCCTGTGTTTCCCCTGGAGCAGGGGTCTCCAAACTTTTTTTTTCTTAAGAGCTACTTTCACAAAATGAACAAAGAATAACTGACAGCAGAAACATTACTGGTATTTATTAAAAGTGAAGTGCTGTGTGGTAGAAATAATACTTTATGTTTAAGCCAGTAATTCATGACATCCTTTAATGACCTAGATTTTCCTGACATGCTGTTCATCTGCAGATAGAATGATTAAAGTCAGAACAAGATTTGCTAACAACAGTCATTCTTAGATATCACTTGTGTTCATCTTTGTGTTTTCCATTGACCTTGTATCAAATCTTGCTAAGACGACAGAATGCTGTTTTCTCGAGACAACAGAGTGAGACAGTGAGCAGTGTGGAGAGAGAAGCAGAGGCACAGAGACAGGCCAGGTTCTCTGTGTTTCCTGTTGTTGCAATAAAACTCAGCTGATCATCRCACGGAGTACCTTCATTCTTGAAAAGCGTATTTCTGTCTCTGTTGTTAAATAAATATTACCATAACATGCTGCTTTTTTTTTAAAATAAAAATTACAAACATGAAAAAGGCTGCATTAGTTAAATCTTATAAAGCCTAACTCATATCTAAAAATACATTTAAGATATCCTGAATTAGAGCTTCCACACATTTATTGGTACATAAATCTGATGTCATTTGGTCAGAATGTAATTCGAGATATAACTAATATGTCTAGTCATAATGCATTGTCAAATCTTTGGAATGTAAGTGTGGTGAAGTTGATTTTACGTTAAAACGACCTGCGACAATATTTCAGTTGTAAATGAGAAAATTTTGAAACAACTGCTGTCATTGTTTAAATGCTGAGCTACGTGTGATGTACTCTACAGCAGGAGGGAGAAATTATGATGATTTATTCTGTGTCTACGTGTTTTAAAATGCTATATTTCTTCATTTATTTTCTGTATTCTTCAATTAAATGGCCATATAAAAAAATAAAAGAAATAGTTTACATGTCCATTCTGGCAGAGATCGGGACAAAATGAGCTGCCCGAATTTGCGTTTTACATGCTTGTTTTTGTTGTACACTGATTCAATAGAAAATCCATTCAAACTTTTAATTTGTGGCAAAATGTGACACACATACACCTTTACCTGTACTAGTGCTGCTTGTGTCCATTTCATTCCAGGGAGGAATGTCGATATCAAAATCCAGATCTGGATTTTCGTTAGCCTGAAGAATCAAACATATCAATGAATAAATGAATCAATCAATCAATCCATCCATCCAACTAACAAAATAAATAAATAAATAAATAAACTCATGGAATATGCAACAAAGAACCAAACACAGTGTATCATAATCAGTCTACTGTATAAAGTAATAAGCTTTTCTATATATCAGAGAAACATAAACTTTTGTTATTTTTCTATTACTACAAATAATTTAGGCTATTTTCTTTCCGGTACATCCCATGCCAAACATAATTCAAACGAATGTGTTTTATTACAGTAACTTTATTGTAAAAGGGAGTTACTCACATAGCTGCCGCTCTCGAGGGCTTCCAGCAGCTCGTCTGCATCCCCCAGGTTACCCAGTTCATCAAACAGGCTTATATCTGTGTAAAGATGAGCATCCAGAACACAACATAAGTCAAACTGCTTTTAGTCCACTGAAAGTTGTAACAAAAGAGTAGAACATTTAATGTGGTTCAGGTCTGGGTATGATGGCACTGTTTGTGTAGCGTGCCACTACTGACTCATTTGTAGTTTGATGTATGTGGCCCAGATCTGTCTCATATGAACAGGCATGCATTGTGTTCTCTTAAGTACGGACCATAAGCATCGCTTAACTCCTACTTTTAACACAGCTTTGTCGTCTCATAAACCAACACCCCACTGTTTAATCAAATAATATTAGGGTTGTGCAAAATCCTATTGTGTGCAATTAACTGTCGGAAAAACAGTCACCAGTTAATATTTGTCATTTTGCAATTAGTTTCTGTGATGATGACTCATCTGTCCCTAATGAGAAGCAAGGTAAGAGGAAGGAGATAAAGTGGGCCACATGTTGCTGCTAAAGGTATGTGGTCACTCCACATTGCGGAAAAGGTGAATTTCCATTCACAGCTAGCTGTTTTAACTTGTTAAATGGGTCAGACCAATTTGGCTATGTTGATTGAGTTTTACTGCAGAGGCATCAACAAGACGGTAAGGGAAAGGCACAGTCTATATGTCTCTGAACATTGGTCTTCACATTCACCCACATATTTCTGTTTGTGAGCAACATCAAAGGTAAAATATAGGTTGGAAATAAGCAGATTATGTGTTGTGATATCTTCAATCAGTGTCTTATCCTGTCATGAAATGAGGCCTGAGATATAGGGTTGGGCGATATTGGCAAAAAAATTAATCACGATTAATTGTGGTATTTAGCCAATAACGATTAATTTGACGATTAATCCCCTGGACACCCTTATGTCCTGGTCACATGACCAATTTAGTGGGAAATATTTGCTCTTCATAAAAAATCTGTTCCAAATTGTCAAAATTACAGACTTCGGGCTATCCATCAAATTTTAAATTGTGTTGATAGATAAATAAATTACAGAATTTTATTTTAAATGCTCGTCATATTTGAAGCAGAGAGGAGCATCGAGCGGACCAACCAGGGAAATATCCAGTCAGTCTGCCTGCTGGCATTAATCGTATTAATTGTCAAGTGCCAAAAAATAATCGATTAATGTTTTTCTGATGATTAATTGCACACGATACGATTATGCCCAACCCTACTGAGATATTGTGACTGTCTTCAGTTTCTTCAGCAGTAGAACAACTTTCAAATGTGATGCTAAAAATACCATTTGAGCTTCATAAATGGATGTTGGAAGAATAAAATTACCCATAACCAGGACTGCATAATTTATTCATTTATATTCCACTTGATGTTATATTACTTTATTAAATATTCAGACCTAAAAGATCTATCATAGGTTTGTAAAAATTTAAAATCAAGATCTAATCTGTTCATCAAAACAAAATTGAAGAATTATTTATTATTATTAATTATTATTAATTATTCTTTATTCTTTATTATTTATTATTAGAGTTTTTATAAATTGCTATGACTAAAAAATATTAATTAGACCATTTAGAGTAAAAACAGTCTGTGTTTCGTGCGGCCTATAAATCATTATATGGAATTTATCGTTTTTTAGTGTTTTTTTCCCCCACAGAGCAATTACATTAAGTAATTTGACATATATGAACGCATGTACTATTAGATTTGTATTGCATCATAACTCATAACAATATTCAAATTCAAACCAAAATGATTGTGATTACAATAATGGGAGCAATCCTCTGAAATTTATGTTTATTCAAACTTAAGTATTTTAAATAATGTGTTCTAAACACTACACTTCAGTCCGGCTGCTGATGTTTATTACATCACAGCATCCAGTCAGCTAATGCTAACAGGCTAGCTGATAACATCGAAACTAACAACATATAACGTCAAACGTAACTTCTGGTCGTTTAGAAACAAATGTCTTGATTAAAATTTAGTTATTTTTCTTGAATTTTCTGTACAGTGCCTTTTTTAAAGTACCTTCTGTTAGCTCAGCTTCATCATGTACTGTATGTTCTAGAAGTCAGCCCACACTTACCCCACTCTCCTCCCTGGTCGAAAGACAAGATGCCTGCTTCGCTATCCGCCATTGACGATTGCTGATAATTTTCCAAGTCTAACTTTAAGTCGAATGCCATTCTCTTTTAAATTCATTAGTGACTTGTAAAGCTGTAACAAACTGGGAACAAAACCACAACTCGCATCAGTGACAAGACTGCCTGTTTTGACGTTAATACACGTCTGTCTTTACTTTACGTCTACGGAAACCTCCGAGGGACAAGTGTAAGAAATCGACTAAACAGTTGATAATGTCCCTGTTGGCCACCAGAGGGCGGAATAGTACAGCAGGCACAGAGAGCTGCTCATCGTTTTAAGAGGTTAGTTTTAGAACTACAATATGTAGGCGATATAAAACTATTAACCCAAGGAAATTTAAAAATGTTTACATTTTTAATTAATAATTTTACATGCATTAGATACATTTTTAAACTTACAGTAGAAGTAAACAAAATATGAACATTGCTTGATCACCACAAATATCTGCCCAGTTAAAAGTTAATTAAAAGTGCCTTTTTTAATTTCTCAAAAATATCATCATAGTACATGTCAAAAACAAAATGGAGACCTTAAGTTGTGATTGTTTTGGTCATTTTGCCAAGTTTTACACAAACATGTTTCGTCCGTCAGGGTAGAAAATCTAAACATTCTGCTCTGATGCAGAACAGCAACAAAGTTTAATCAAGGTGAAAATTAAAGGCAGAATTTATATTTCAGAGATTTAATACCTATAAGATTTCACATTTTTCAGATAAAGTGGTAAAATGTAAAAAAGTATTGAACAAATAAAATAATTATAACAACCAATTATACACATAATGATGTTAAATTACCATCTGAATGTGTATTTACTATACCTTTTTTACATTTTACTTATTTATTTATTCGTGCAACTTCTATTTTTAATGACGAAAAGCAGAGTATCTGGAAAACCCTCCAAAAACACGAGGAGAACATGCAAACTCCACACAGAAAGACCC